GGCTGCATGCAGAGCAGCAGCAGTGCAGGGTGCAAGGCCAGCGGTGCTGGAGGCAGCAGTGGCGCAGCGTGCTGGTGGAGGGGACAGTGGAACAAGCTCCCCTCCCCCCCTTGTTCCTGGACAAGCAGTTGGCTAGTATCTCTATATCTATCCACACCCCCCCCCCCACATCTGTCTCTCTATCTGTCTATGGGTGAAAGGACAATTCGGTCTCTATCTCGCTTCAGAACCGGTCCCCTCTCCTATGAGCACCGGCGATGCGTCAGGAAGGCATGGGGAACATGCCATGTCAACGGTGGGATGTGGGGCTGCAGCTCTGCCTGACCCAATGCCCAGCAGCAGTGGTGCAAAGTTGTGGCCCCTACTGCATTGGTGGCACAGAGTTGTGCCCCCCACTGGCAGCACTTACACATCACATTTGGTTACGAGTGCTACTAAGGGCACCTCTTACGACAACAAGAGCTTCTAATATGGGCACTTATGCTGTAGGAAGCTGGCAACACAGTGCCTAGCACTTGTAAATACTAGCGGCCAGGTTCTGGTCCTCTTGCTCAGGCTGAACAACACCTCACTCCGCAGACAGCATTCCTGCTTTTTGTGCATCTAGTTGCAGGAGTAAATTACCCTTCAGCATCCTCAAGACTAGGTGAATCTTTACCCTAAATAAAATCAATGGGTAGGAGCTGACAAGCACTTTCTCTTTTTCCTTTTTTTTTTCCGCATGAGGTACAGTGCAAAGCAGAGGGCGATCAGCCGGAAGTCCCAACAAATATGGAAAAATGAGTCAATCTCCCTGGTTACCTCTGGGAAACAAAACATGACTAAGGTGCCTTTGCACTTGCAGTCCCTCCAGACTCAGGAAATCAGGCGTGCTTTAAAAATGCCTAATGTGAACTGCAAAACTCTAGCAGGCTTGGTTCAGAGATGATACTTTGTATTAGACCTACTAAGAAACAGAAAGAAAATTATCTTTTTCTGCAAGCTTTGGGGTGCACATGCCCTTCCTCAGGCTCAGGGAAAAGTAAAGATGGGGAAAAGTCCCCACAGGTAGGAAATAAACTTCATTTTTACACAGAGGAAACTGACGGTGGAAGTCTGTTCCTCTGGGTCTACGAGAGGGTCTTTAGGTCTCTTAAAAATGCCTAGAGACCCGCAGACAAGGTTGGTTGGGTAAATCCGGTCTCTTTCATTAGACTAACTCAAATAGCTGGAAAAAATTATTCTTTCAAAGCTATCTGAGGTGGTCTAATACAAGCGACTGGATTTAGACAACCAACTTTGTCTGCCTGTGTCCTTAGACCTCCCACGGCTACAGCCCGCACCCTGGAAGCCCGCAGGCTGCTGAAGCTGGAGGGGCCGCGAGGGCTCAGGGGCTCCCTGGCGGGCCCTCTCTCGGGACGGGGGGGCCGCTCCCTGGGGGCGCCTCCCGGGCTCTTCTGCCCCGAGGCAGCGGCTGCACCCCTGGGCGCCTCAGCAGAGCCGCCCCTCAGCCCCTGGCCCGGCGTTACCTGCTCGGCGCGGCGGCTCCGCCTGCTGCACCGCTCTGCCCTTCCGCACCGAGCTGCCCATGGCCCCCGGCGGCGATGACACCTAGTAACGCTCGGCACTCGTGCGGCCCCAGGCGGCCCCGGCCGGGCTGTCCGCGGGGAGGAGGGGCGGGGGCGG